ATATATATATATATATATATATATGATTCGCGCTTTGCAACACGCATTCTTTTTTGGCGTCACCACAGTTTGATCTCAGAAACGCTGATTTCCACACTACCAAGCCGATTCTAGTAAGGGTTTTCGTCTTTTTGATGAAATCTCGGCAGTTTGGCCGTAACTTCCATCAACCCAGCCATTTCTCATCGTCGTGCCTGGAAGGCATGAATTTGGAAATCGTGTCTGGTTGGTTATCCAAATTACCTCGCTGTTGTTTGAGACGCGTGCATACTCAACTGACTTCCACTTGCGAGTACTCAGTTTCATGTTGGTTTGGCGTTGGTCTATGAAGCCGAACTCCGTGGATGGGGTGCAGACTTTCTGATTGAAATTGGGACTACAGTCTACACATACCGAAGACGGTCGTATACTTTAGGGTTACTCTGGGATCGTTTGGCTATGGTCCATTATCCGAAAATGATCCTTGCAGTTTGCCATACTCCTGGTGAAAAAAAATTTCAATTGGTAATTACACGTCCTCATGCAACCGAGGTTGATCTAATAGTTGAAATAAATTTCTCATATTCCGCCCAGAAGTCCGGTTATTTCAACGGCCGCGCTCACATGATCGTATGTTTTAGTTCCACTCGCATGCTTTTATTGAAACCATTGAACTATGGTGTCTCCGTCAAGGGTCATGGTCAATTGCTTCACTGGCATTGTCGGGATCCATCCGTGGTCCCATTTTCTTCAAGCCAATGTTATGTTATCCTCATCAGCATTCCTGAACATCATCAAGTGTCCCGGTCATCCCTACTGCAGCCTGCACACCCCGACTGAATACTCGAAACAAATTAGCCAATTCCTATTTCGTTCGGTTGCAAAATAAACGGCTTGGAACCGACTTGATCGACAACGTTTGAGTAGTCTTTTCCTTTTGGATGCCATCGATGAAATAGGAAAGAAGTCTGTATTTCGCAGTCGTCTGACTGAAGTAAGGTGTTTTTAATAGTTCTCCTTTCCACTTTCGACCTTCACAAGTACTTTTAAATCACTGTTGCGCGATCTGGGTGTCCTCACTTTAGGGAACTGTACCTTATAAGGTCTGACTGGG